GAGAGAGAGAGAGAGAGAGAGAGAGAGAGAGAGAGAGAGAGAGAGAGAGAGAGAGAGAGAGAGAGAGATGGGGGATCGAGGCATGTCCCTGACCTTGTGGCATGTAGTCCCATCTGCAATGTGGGCTTTGACATTTTTGAATCTGCTTCTCACAAGGTGGTGGCATGCGCCTCATTGTGGGTTGCAGATCGGATTCGGCAGCTCGTACTTCGGTGGCGACAACGATGTGGAGAGAGTAGTCGGTGGTGGGCCTCGTGTGCTGTTAATCTCGGCAAGTCAGCCTGGCTGTGCCACTCGCTATGGAGACTATGTCACGATGCGTGCTCTCAAGAACAAAATGGACTATGCTAATCGACATGGGATGGATGTCGCATTTGCTCTTGAAAAGCACGTCAGCGGTGGTCATCGTGTAGATGGCCTGCATAATAAGATCTCAGTCATCAATAGAACTATTGCTTCTCGCCCGGATTATGACTGGTATGTCTGGATGGACTCAGACACCATCATTGCCGACATGGACTTTGAAATTCCGTGGTCAAACTATGTGGACAGAAGCCTGGTCATCTGGGGGACGCATACAGACTTCAACAAGGTAGTTGAAGAGTCATCCTACCTGTCTATTAACTCTGGGGTTGTCTTTTTCCGCAACACCCCCGTGATTCAATCTCTATTCCACTCCCTGAAAACGATCTGGGCCGCAGGTTTTGACAGTGCCTATCTCACTCTGTCAAGGGTGGTTTTGGGCATGCCTCCATACGCAAGCGATCAGTCAACGCTCATGTACTTGCTCGCCACTCAGCCTGGGAAATGGCGAAACGAGGTTCAATTCGTCTCCTACGAGTATGCAATTAACCTGTATTGGAGGGACCCAAATGTCAGCTCTTACACCAAGACCAGCTGGGTGGGGGATGGAGTGACCCCTCCCTTTGTTGTTCATTTCTGCGGTTGCGAGCTGTGCTGGACAGAAAACGAGCACTCACCCGAGTGCCTCGCGGCATTTGACAAAGTGTATAACTTTGCCGATGACCAGGTATTAGCTCAAGCGGGCTTGCGTCATGTCAACCTGAGCTCGCCATTTGTCATTGACATCAACAGATCGACCTCACTTTAATATTCAACTCGTTGTTTGCATCTCCTCCTCTTTCCCCTCCTCGTCATCGTCATCATCTTCATCAGCATCATCATCGAGCTGCCGTGTATTGCAGTAGTCCAAGTCAACATCTCCTCATTGATGTGCCTATTCGAGTAGTTGTTGATGTCAACAACTCCTCATCAGCCTGAGTGTCCCGGTTGTTCTTGTTGTTGTCGTTGGCATCATCCCTAGTTTTCTTTTTTTGCATTGTTGCCAACATCAGCCCCTCCTCATGGTGAACTGCTAAACTACATGGACAAGTAATTGGGAGGCAAGTGAGGACACCATGTCATTTGCCTGTGGTGTTGTGCTCGGATTGCTTCGGAGCATTTCACAAACTCCTCGGGGCCACAACGACAGGATTTCTGGACCAGGTTTACAACTAGCACCAGGTTAGAAGACCAGGACTAAGATTATGACCATGTTTGGAGACCAACAACTTAAAGATTATACTTTCAAGACTAGGTTCGTGGAACATGTCTGTAGACCAGGTATGGCTGTGTGCTTGCAGGTCAGGTTGTTGCAGCAGACAAAATATGAGCCACGGCTTTTTTTTTTTTTTTTTTATAGAAAAGTCCAGGCTGAGTCTAGGTTTGCTAGATAATTTCAATAACTGGCGGGGTCAGGAGCACAGAGGTTGAATTCTGGCCAGGCTTATTTTGCTCTTTCAAACGTGAAGGACCTATTTATGTCCTCACACCCCCATTCAAATAAATAGTTCTCTCCTCTCAGGTATATGTGGAGTGCCCCAACCATCAAGTGCAGAGCTTCAAAAGCTGCCTGTTGATTGATTGATTGATTAATTGATTGATAGTGCAGTTGATGACTGGCTTCATTAATTGATCGATCCATTGCTTGCTTGCTTGCTTGCTTGCTTGCTTGATTGATTGATTTATTGATTGGTTGATTGATTGATAACGCGGTTGATTGACTGACTTCATCGAGTGATCGATCCATCGCTTGATTGCTTGATTGCTTGATTGCTTGATTGCTTGATTGACTGACTTCATTGATTGATTGATTGATTGATTGATTAATTGATTGATTAATTGATTGATTGGTTGATTGATTGGTTGATTAATTGATTGATTAATTGGTTGATTAATTGATTGATTAATTGATTGATTGGTTGATTAATTGATTGATTAATTGATTAATTGGTTGATTGATTTATAGCGTGGTTGTTTGACTGAATTCATTGATTGATTGATCCATTGGTTGCTTGCTTGCTTGATTGATTGATTTACTGACTTCATTGATTGATCGATCCATTGCTTGCTTGCTTGGTTGGTTGTTTGCTTGCTTGCTTGATTGATTGATTGTTCAATTGATTGGTTGGTTTGCTGATCAATACATGGCAGGGAGACTGCCAAGCAAGAGTAACCATCAATCCCTGGAGTTCACCAGATTTTATGATTATGACCAGATCTGGTTTGGATGTTTTGATGTTTCCAGATATTATGTTTCACGGTGATGCTGGCATAAGCACATCTACAATATAAATTACCTTCACAACGGATTACAGGATGAGTCCCCGACCTTCACATCAGATCGCCAATCACTACAATTATAACAATCACTATTTCATAGCGTGTGACCAGCAGCCGATCTGGAGCCTTCTTTCCTTGGCACGCGATGGTGCAGGTTGGCTGCTGATCGCTTTCAATGTCATCAACTCACGATCTGCACTGTTGTCAGTAGCTGGGCCCTGGGGGGCCAGGGCCTATAGGTCCTGTGGAAATTCCAACTCCCCAGGACCCAGTAGTGCTGTGCGCGGCACCAGCACAACTTCGCACTCTCCATTCCATGGTAGGCCCTGGGGTTGTAACAAACCTTTTTTAGGGCGGCCGCAAATTTGCACTCCACAGGCCCCGGTAGTGCCTCACGAGGCACCACCGCGAATTTGCACTCCCCAGTCTACACGGTATAGCGGGAGCGGGAGCGCCTGGTAGTGCCCTGCACGGCACTCCCGAGGCCAATTTTTGGCCGGTACACGGTATCTGAATGGTACACCCGTGCGGCTGCCCGAAACTTTTTTGGGAGCCGGCGCGAACAAACCTACCCTCTATGCTGGACTTCGCCACTTCGACTTGGCTACTCAGCTACTCTTCGACTTGGCTGCTCTGCTACTCTGCCTGACTTCGCTACTGTGCTACTCAGCAGTCACCTTCGACTTCGCTGTTAGGGTGGACACACACCCACGCTCGACATCAACGCTCGACGCACACACACAAATGAACACACACACACACACACACACACACACACACACACACACACACACACACAC